ATTGGTTTCTTGGGAAAGCAAGGGTTACTGTGGGCAAGGTAAGGGTTCTAGCTTACAAGCTATCTATGCTCCCTGGAAAATGATGGTCTCTGTACAACTAAATTAATTCCATCTTGATGTTGCGTATCCTTATTTCAGTGCAAAGAACATAATTCTATATACCAATGGAAAGTCCATTTACATGTGTCTTTTTCACTCTCTTTCCAGGTGGTTCTGTCATTCTGCTGCTTCCAAACTGAGCATGGAACATCTCAATACTTCCCACCCCTGATGCTTTTTATCCCCTTGGAATAGTGGTTCTCAACCTGTGGATCGGGACTCCATTTGGGGTCGAACGACCATTTCACGGGGGTCGCCAAACAACGCAGTCTGCCATTTTCCCCCCCTTTTCCTTAGCTGTGCTACTCTCTTTTATTCTATTGGCTTTTGAAAGCCAATAGAATAGACTCTCTTGAATAGAGTCTAATTCTATTGGCTTTCAAACGCCAATAGGAATTGTCCAGGCTGTCTCTGCCCTGCTGAGCCCGCCAAAAGCCCCAGTCTGCAAACGGTGCTGCACCAGTTGAGTAGTCCTTGACTTACGACCGGTTGCGGGGTCACGGCATTAAAAAGGTTGAGAACCACTGCCTTGGAATGATCAATTCTTTTATAGGTTGGGATCACGTCAAGCTGAGAATGGAAGCGCATGCAAGGACACACCTTTTGGCATACTGGAGTGCTACACTGCCTTAAAAGGGGGGTACCTTTTTCACAGCAACAAGGCCACTGAGATTGGAAGCTTCCAAGGAAGGCATGAGAGTGACAGTGGCCTTTGAGGGATATTCGGTCTCAAGAATCTACTTATGGTGCAATGCAGGATCTATTTTATGTTCATTTTGCTGCAGCCACTGTTTTGAATCTGCTTAAAGTAACTTATGGATGCACAGGAACCTGATCTGCAACTAAGTCAGTGGTTCTCAACCTGTGGGTCGGGACCCCATTTGGGGTCGAACGACCATTTCACGGGGGTCGCCAAACAACGCAGTCCGCCATTTTTTTCCCCTGTTTTCCTTAGCTGTGCTACTCCCTTTTATTCTATTGGCTTTTGAAAGCCAATAGAATAGACTCTCTTGAATAGAGTCTAATTCTATTGGCTTTCAAAAGCCCATAGGAATTGTCCAGGCTGTCTCTGCCCTGCTGAGCCCGCCAAAAGTCCCATTCTGCAAACGGTGCTGCACCAGTTGAGTAGTCCTCGACTTACAACTGGTTGAGTAGTCCTCGACTTACGACCAGTTGGGGGGTCACGGCATTAAAAAGGTTGAGAACCACTGAACTAAGTGATGACCAGGGAGGTTTTGCAACGCACTCTAAATTAAAAACTGACAAACCTGGACAAGAGCACAAACACTGGACACTGAATTGAAACTACTGATCTAGCTGATTTCCTCCACAAATGGATGACTGATGATTATTGGAATCTAGTACACAGGCTGGTTTACCCTGACTGAGATTTCACCTGTAGAAGGCAAAAGTTTAACCTGGGCCCTACTGCCTACCACAGGCATCCTCTCCTCTCCATGAAGCCATGACTCCTCCCTCCTGTAAAAAAAAAAAACCCCAACCATTTCTAAACCTGAGGCTAATCATAGGCAATTTCCATTTTTATTTGTTTTTTTTCCTGCCCTGCAGTATTTAGTATTGTGTACGCACATGCTTGTATTTATTTTTCTTAAAAGGGGGGGGGGTAGTACACCAACCATATCAGAAGCAGCTGGGGAAAAAATGCTGGATCAAGGAACTCAGGGGAAGGAGGAAAGTGGACATAAATGCTTCTTTGTGTTTCTACAGCCCCAGCTCAGAACAGGTGTTTTGTAGTTGCTACAAGCTCATGATGGTTTGAATCATGTCCCCACCACAGATTGTTCAGGAAGTTTAGAAACCCACTTTCTGAATTTTAATCTGCCATGCAAGGACTGTTCCTTCCTACTTTAAGGATGTGTTAGCCTTGCAAGGCTGTCATCTGTCAGATGTTGCAGCAAATAAACCAGGTTTGAGCTTAAGATCTTTCATCACTTTCCTTAAATAATGGAGGAGACTCGGTGCTTATTTCATGGTTTAGAAAGTGTTTTTCAAACTTGGCCATTTTAAGATGTGTGAACTTTTAAGTCCCAGAATTCTCACGCTCCTGGGAATTCCAGGAGTTGAAGACCACACTTCTTAAAGTTGCCAAGTTTGAGAAACACTGGTTTAGAACAATCCACAGTTTCTAGCATTCAGAGCATAATTTCAATGGTGGCAACTATGCCTTGGGATCCTTCAATACTACAATGGCTGCATTTTAGCCTCATGTTAATCAAAGAGCCCAATCAAAGACCTCAGAACGACAAATGTATGTTACAATCCTTGGGCTAGAATCTGATTTCCACAGTTTTGGCTTAACATCCCTAAAATTAGCACATCAGAATAAAGGAGGCAAAAACCAGATTCCGGAATTATACGCTTTTGTTCAGCTTTATGTATACAGAAGCCTCAGATTTTACTTTTTTGTTTATGGTTTCCTAAAAACAATTTTTTTTTTATTTTCAAGAATTATATGGCTGCCTATATCTTATAATTCTAGGAGACTCACAACAGTCCCCAAATGCCCAAGTACCAGACCAGGGAGATACCAGCCTCCCTGATCAACTCCCAACCTATCCCAAGGCTTAAGGGAAAAGTCAGGCCTTCAAAGCCCCCCCCCCCCAAAGGCTAAAAAGGTAGGATCCCTCAGATCTCAGATGGGAAGCCATTTGTGATGTACTGGATTATAAAAAGCTACCTTTGAAATAGGCCATCAGTTCATGTTACCTCAGTCCTGTATACACAAACATCTCTATTGTGGTGACCTCTGGAACTGTTGGTGGCTTGTATCTAACATACCTTCTGTTACATTCAAGCCTTCCCACAATCTCTCTCAGATTACCTCAGCCATGATAGTTATTGATTGTCAATTGCCACCTTTAACTGCAACATGTTGCAGCTGCCAAAAAAGCCAACACAGTGCTAGGCTGCATTAACAGAGGGATAGAATCAAGATCATGTGGAGTATTAATACCACTTTACAATGCCTTGGTAAGGCCACACTTGGAATACTGCATCCATTTTTGGTTACAACGATATAAAAAAGATGTTGAGACTCTAGAAAGAGTACAGAGAAGAGCAACAAAGATGATCAGAGGACTGGAGGCTAAAATATATAAGAAACGGTTGCTGGAATTGGTTATGTCTAGTTTAATGAAGAGAAGGATGACGGGGGACATGATAGCAGTGTTCCAATATCTCAGGGACTGCCCCAAAGAAGAGGGAGTCAAGCTATTCTCCAAAGCGCCTGAAGGCAGGACAAGAAGCAACGGATGGAAACTGATCAAGGAGAGAAGCAACCTGGAACTAAGGAGAAACTTCCTGACAGTTAGAACAATTAACCAGTGGAACAACCTGCCTCCAGAAGCAGTGAATGCTCCAACACTGGAAGTTTTTAAGAAGAGACTGGGCAGCCATTTATCCGAAATGGTATAGGGTTTCCTACCTGAGCAGGGGATTGGACTAGATGACCTCCAAGGTCCCTTCCAACTTTATTATTATTATTTATTATTATTTATTATTATTATTATTATTATTATTATTATTATTATTATTATTATTATCCTCAAGATCTTACTGAAGCAGGAAGTGTCACTTAGAAAGTGACATGTGGCTATTACAAAGAATCATGGAATATTAAAAGACTAAACCCAGTTTTAAGTATCCACGTTGTTGGCATTATGGAAAATGAAGCTCAATGCATTGGGGAGGCCTCAGTTTGTAGACAGTTTCCTTCAAGCAGTGGCAGAATTGCAAGAAATGAACAGTTAAAATGAGAAGGTTACAGGAGGAACCCTCCTTCTTGGCAGCCATTTGTATTTTCATTTGTATTTGTATTTGACCCACAGAAGTATTAGCAAAAAATGTAGGGCTAGGCATGGAAAAAGTGAAAAAGGGACAAATGCTCCAACTGAAGTGAATCTCTAAGTCAGAGGTGTCAAACTCAATTTCACTGAGGGCTGCATCAGCATTGTGGTTGCCCTTGGGGGGCCGGGTGGGAGTGGCCAGGGTGGGTACGGCCTACTGGGTGGGCGTGGATGGAGCGGGTGTGGCCTACTGGGTGGGCACGGCCAGCTCTACATTGTTTGCATCAGGGGTGCCTGTGGGGGCCTGGGCAGGAGTGGGACAGATCTGAGGGTCTCTGGCGGAAGGGGGTGGGACTGGGGCAAGTGCCAAGGCATGGTGCATTTCTTCATTCCTCACAAAGGGTGACCCCTCCCCAGCATGCACCCAGGGGCCGGGGCCAACGCAGCAGGGGCTGGTTCCTCACTGTTTCCAGATGGCCTTGTGGAGCTAAGACTGAATGCGTTTCAGCATAGATGGCCACCACAAAATTGTACATTGGCTCCCAGCTGGCCTGGGCCAGGGCGAAGACAGTAGGGGCCGTTCCCTCACTGTTTCCAGGATGGCTTTGAGGGCCACATGAAACCACTTTGCGGGCCGCATCTGGCCCCTGGGCCTTGTGTTTGACATGTCTGCTCTAAGTAGATTGGGCAGTTGACTCCTTACCCAGCATGCTCCCCTACTCCTTCCTATACTTGAAATTATTTTCAGATTAACCCTTTATCTTCAAGGACAGACAGAATGAATCATAACCATCATTAAATGGCCACTTAGATTTTTTCCCCCTTTTGATGTTTGTTATTATTCTATAATTTTAAAACTTTTAATCCAAATTTTTTTAATTGTAATGTTAATTTTGATAGTTTTATTTATTGGTTACATTATATTGTACACCATCCATAGCCCCTTTTTGAGGGCAATGGGCAGTTTAGAAACATGAAATTTAAATAATCCTATCAGGAAATGATGAAGGTGACACATCTGCATTTATCATAAGACTTGGGGGAAACAAACGATACATCCAAACATAAGCAGCCAATAAAAGCTGACTGGCTTACCCTGCTCCGCAAATAATCAGCCAGATTTCTGCGTGTGAAGTTGGCAGCTGCAGTTGGAGACAGCTCATATCCTATTGTTAAGACAATAACACAATCACATCTTATGGGTATCTGGAAATTTATTCTATAGACTCGTTGGAAGAAACTGCTTCAGCTGAATTTTATAGTGCAAAGCAACAAATACTAAAATAGGAATGCAAGACTTCATTTTTATGTGAACAAGTGACTGCATAGAAAAATGACTTAACAGTTATGTACCCTAATCCTCTTACGTTTTATTTATAAATACCCTTGCAATATCAAAATATATGCACAAAAATGGTTATACCCAAACTTTGTGCTTATTTGTAGACAAAGCTAGAAATCGATAGAACTGGGATTACATAAAGTCAGAGAAAATTCTTATCAAACATATACAGAGTAATTATGATCAATCAAATATGTCAACTGCTTTATAGTACTTCTGAAATTTAGCACTTATGTGATACACAAAGAAATTAAAGTGGATTAAAAGAATCCTATGTATGTTATGGGGAATAGTCAAAGTTATTATTCTCACACTTGAACAGAGTGGTTGTATTTACTTCAAATGTAAGAAGCATTTAATGAAAACCCTCTTCACTAAGACACACTCCTGTTAATCTGAATATGCAAACTTCAAGACAACAGAAGTACAAGAAACTAAAAGTTTACAACACTTTGGCTGTCACCTTGCAATATCGTTCCTCACAGCTGAAAAAACAAAAGTGTCTAGTAACTGAGATAAAAACATAAATAGGTGAAGGAATGGAAGGATCTGTACAGGGTCTGAAGACATTAGCACCTAAATGACTTGTAATATGGCGACCTAGTTTTTTATTCTTTACTTTCCCTAGAGACTCGGCTGCAACACTCACCATTCCTCATCTTATAGAGCTGGACATTTTTCTGGATGTATTCTGCAAACTGTACAGTGTCGCCAGCCTCCCCAACACACAGTAGCAAGATTTTCTCACTCATCTTGAACATCTTGTCATGATCTTTAACATTACAGAGGAAGAAAAGAAGAACAGGAACCAGTGTCAGAAAAAAGAATAATCAGATGCAGGTAGGCCTTGACTTATGACTCAATTGAGCCCCAAATTTCCATTGCTAAGCAAAACAGTTGTTAAGTGAGTTTTGCCCCATTTTACGACCTTTCTTGTCATATTTGTTAAGTGACTCAGTACAGTTGTTAAGTTAGTAACACAGTTGTTAAGTGAATGTCTTCTCCATTGGCTTTGCTTGTGAAAAGGTAATAAAAGGTGATCACATGACCCAGGACACTGCAATCTTCTTAAATACGTGCCACTGCAAAGTGCCCAAATTTTTGTTACATGACCATGGGGATACTGCAACGTGTAAGTGTGAAAAACGGTCATAAACTACTTTTTCAAGTGCCGTTGTAACTTTGAACGGTCACTAAGCGGCTGGTTTGAAGTTTTCAAACTGAGAAACAAAAAGGGAGGAGAATAATGACTCTTCCAATTAATTCCACAACATTTAACTTTCCATGATCTGAAATAAATGTATAAACAAGCCCTACATATGACTGAAGAGCCAAAAAATAACCAAGTTGTTTAGATTCTTGTTCTCTAATAATCAATAATGCTTTCGTAATGTAAAAATATTTACAAAACAGTCAAAAGGTGCAGATGACCGATCAATTGGCAATTCAGTAATATATTTAATGCCTTAAATGTTCAAGGCAGCTAACAAAAAAGTTTAAAAAGGCAATTGAAAACATAAAATCACAGAATATTAAAAAAAAAAACCTAATTCTATGGCTAGGCATACATATGTTTAGCCCAGTCACTTGCAAACGTAAGAGCTTTATTTGCACAACATGCAAAACTTCGTAATTTTTCTTTTTATATTTGAATATATTGTGGGTTTTTTGCACCCTAAAAATTAGATGGCTACTTTATAGATTGTCTTGGGCAAACCCAGAACGCAATTTAGTAACCGAGTTAAATATATGGTGCGGAGTCACCTATACATTTTCACTCAAGAGTACTGTACGCTCCAAATTTATTGCGTCTTCTTTGGCTTTCCCCAGGACTTCCATTTTGTTATGGAGCTCCCCCAAACCAAACGCTCTGTCCTAGCCAACTTTCCAAACATCTTGAAATATCACCCATGCCCTCCCATACGTTCTGGGATCAATAGGCGAGAAGGACAATTTAACCCATTTTTTGGGGGGGGGAAGTAACTCGGAAATTTAGAAAAGGTCAGGCCCTCACTCTTTAGTCTACTCCAGGAGTAGGCAACCTTGGCTCTTTTATGACTCCTGGATTTCACCTCCCAGAATTCCTGAGCCAGCAATGCTGAGGGGACAGGGAGAGGTTTCCAAGCTGAGCCATGGCTGGCTCAGGAATTCTGGGAGTTGAAGTCCACCAGTCATGAAGGGGCCATAGTTCCCACATGCTAGCTCAGGAATTCTGGGAGTTGAAGTCCACAAGTCATAAAAGAGCCCAGGTTGCCTACCCATGGTCTACTCTAACGGGCAGCTTCTTCCCAGGAGCTCAAATCCAATTCCCCCCCCCCTTCGGCTTTTACTGGATCTCTTTCGATCCCGAGCCAGGCAAAGCAGGTTCCCAGCGCGACCCCTCGACCCTTTCCAAGAGCGTCGCCTTGCAAACGGCCGTGAGGGAAACGTAAAGGAGGCCCCACGGCCTCAACTCGGCCCCTGACTCGCCTTCGCCCCTCAGCCCCAGACCACCCAGGGGTCATTCAAACGGTTCCCAGCACCGCCGTCGCCGCCCTCCCGGCTAAGTAAAACCCGGAGACTGACCGCGCTTCATGTGAACGATACTGGAGGCCGCGACGGTGTCGGCGGCCATCAGCACGAAGTCAGGCCCTTGGATGCCGATGAGGTACTCCATGACTGCCCGAGCAACCGAAACCGAATTGCGAGCCTCGGTGACACAGCGCGAAGCCGGGGCGCCACGGCGCGGAGGAGTGACGTCACGGGGACGTCGCGCGAGATCCACCGCCTTCGACCAAGGCGTGCGTAGTCTATGAGTCCCGCCGAGGTCACGTGGGCGGGTCTTCGCTAGGTTCCCTCGAGTTTTAGTCAAGCGACGCCCAGAGCGGCTCTTCTTTTAGCCTTTAATAACATCTTGCGATTCTGAAAATACCTTCCCCTCCTTCGCTGTCACAGCCCACAAAACTGGGGAGGGTCCCTTCTCAGATGTTTCCCAGGTCCATATTGCTGTGGGCTCAGTTTCTGCTTAATCCGGGGGTCCTCAACCTAGGCCACTATAAGACTTGTGGACTTCAACTCCCAGAATTCCTCAGCCAGCTTTGCTGCCTGAGGAATTCTGGGAGTTGAAGTCCACAAGTCTTAAAGTGGCCACGGTTGAGGATCCCTGGATTACTCCGCCTGTTCGCCTGGCTAGCTCTCCTGTCTCGCAAGGTCATGCTTTAGCTTTAGCTGACTGTGTTCAGCAGGTCAGCGGTTCAAATCTCACCGGCTCAAGGTTGACTCAGCCTTCCATCCTTCCGGGGTAGGTAAAATGAGGACCCAGATTGTTTACTGGTGTACACCGCTTAGAGAGTGCTTGCACTTAAAGCGGTATATAAGTCTCATAAATAAATAAATTCGTACATAACACTACAGCAGGACCTCAATGAAGTCAAGTTGCCAACCATACCATTTTTATTCTACCATCATTTTGGCTTTGTGAGCACTTTTCCCCACCCCTTGTCCTGCCACTCCTGTATGAATGCAATCCGGGCATTACGTTTAAAGTTTCCTATTCGGAAGGAAGGAAGGAAAGGACAAGACTCCCATTTGCTCAATGACAGGCAGCAACGCAAAGGGGATTTCAGAGTGACATTTCATGCCTGAAAGCTGTCAGACGTGAAAATGCCATTGCGAACAACATTTGGACCGCAGGCATTAGACCAGGGGTCTTCAAACGTGGCCCTTTGTTGACTTGTGGACTTCAACTCCCAGAATTCCTCAGCCAGGCACGCTGGCTGAGGAATTCTGGGAGTTGAAGTCCACAAGTCATCAAAGGGCCAAGTTTGAAGACCCCTGCATTAGACCAAAAGAGAAACAAGATTTGGTTAAATGTTTGAACTACTTGCAATGTTTGAAAAACTTGGGTTTTGTTTTTTTTTTAAGTCGGTGTTTCTCAACCTTGGCAACTTTAAGATGAGTGGGACCATCTTCCAGAATGCTGGCTGGGGAATTCTAAGAGTTGAAGTCCAAGTATTTTGCTAAGCTTCAGTGAGAAACACTGGCCTAGGCAATATTATGATAAAGAAAATCTGAGTCTGAAGGGACAGGGTAAAGAAAGCAATTCAGAAGGGATCCCCTTAGTTTTCAGGAGACTAATAATAAGGGCGGGGAGAAGTCCTTCAAATCATGTAAGAGTGATATCAGCCATTCAAGGCAATCCAGACAAAATGCACCAATCACGAGTACAAACACTACCTGTATTGTAAAGTTACAGTAACAGAACCTAGCAAGTTGCAAGAGGCATGTTGTGGATCCCATCTACAAAGGAGTGGCATCTTATGGGACTCAGGAGAACAGCTTTTTCTACCTTGGCAATCACCCTGTGTAACATCATACCTCCGGTTTGGCCCTGAGCCTTCTGGCTTTTTTTGCATGGCTTTGCCACCTGTTTTGGGGACCAGAGATGTTGTGGAACCAGTGAAGTGGCTGTACTGATTATTTTGATGAGCAGGATTTCCTTGTCAGTAACATTTATGTATTTTTTATTGGGTTTTATTCTTGTTTTTCAATTGCGGTTTTGTAATTGCGTTTTGTTTTTATATTTGTTTTGTCTGTAAGCCTCTCGGAGTCACATATATGGAATAGGTGACTATGAATGAATGAATGCATGATTGAATGAATGAATGAATGAATGAATGAATATTGGAGATTCCCAGGGATGGTGACTGTGTATGGTGCAAAATGGATTTTTTAATTCCTTGCTTCAGAAGCTGGTGTATGGGTCCATCTGTGATGCAAGTATCTTCCTGTTCTCGAAAATAAATCTGATGGTTAACATAGCACCAGTTCTTTTACCTCTCCCCTCTTTGCCTCTCACCAATTAGCAGAAGAAGTGTTTACTCTCCACCTAAAATGAGGAAAATCAACTGGTCCCTGCAGGTGAAAATGGATTAAAGTACCTCTGTCAGTGGTGTCAATGGCAGCGATTAGCACTCCAATCTATTCCCAGGGACTTGCTAGCAAAGGCGAGAATCATATCAAGGCCGCTGGGATCACTTTAGAGAGAGCTTCTGTCAACTGTCAGTTTGGACAAGACATGCCAGCTGAACCAAGGGGGGGACTGCACTTAGATGCTCAGGACAGGCAGAAGTCCAGCCAGCAGAGAGAAAGAGGAAGGAAGGAAGGAAGGAAGGAAGGAAGGAAGGAAGGAAGGAATTCAATGGACTATAGACTATATATTTAGTGCACAGGTTTTTCTGGGCTTCAGAAGATCAGTACTGAGAAATTGTTCAGGGTTTTTTTTGCAGACATTCCAAGTGCAGCACAGTGCAAAAGATTTTTAAAAATGCAAAATAATGTCCGCAAAAACCCTAATCAATATCTCAGGATTGATATCCCAAAACCCAGAGGTCTTAACTACTAAATATTTACAACAAATCCACATTCTAGCTAGTTCCAAGAAAAACGTAAAACTAGACACACCAAATGATATTGTGCGGCTTGTGATTCTGTGTAGCGGGAACCTACGTCCTTTTCTACCATGTTAGTCAGACCAGATTGTCATTTAAAGCACCATGTGTGGTGGATTTGCTTTGGCTCAGCATATCCTCTGAACACCGCAGTGCATTTTGTTAACCTGGGTTAGGATGTGCTGTGTTGTATCAACCCAGCAACTCTGGGGGTTTAGATAATTTTCAGGCCTCAAAATGCAGATGTCATTTTGAGACGAGATTGGACATGTTTCATTATTTCTATTCATATATTTATTCATCCATTTATTTTAAAGAGGAAATATAGCTTCATTCCTGCAGATCAAGATGACCACCTTGTTAGACCTTCTATAATTGATGGGACTTAGGATTGGGCATCCGGATATCCAAAATGGCAAAGCCAGTGTTTACTATTCCCCTGCAGAGCACCAACTTTCTTCCTCCCTAGACTGCCCATAGATATAGGTAGTCCTCGACTTACAACCGTTCATTTAGTGGTTCACTTAACAAATGCAGTGAGTCACTTAACAACGCAAGAAAGGCCGTAAAATGGGGCAAAACTCACTTAACTGTCTTGCTCAACAAAGGAAATTTTGGGCTCAATTGTGATCCTAAATCGAGGACTACCTGTATGTCTATAACTTCTTAAATGCTTCACAAAGCAGAAGTCCTTGACTTACAACAGTTCATTTAGTGACCATTCAAAGTTACAACGGCACTGAAAAAAAGGGACTTATGACCGTTTTTCACACTTAAAACCATTACAGAATCCCCATGACCACATGATCAAAATTCAGGTCCTTGGCAACTAACTCATATTTATGATGGTTGCCCTGTCATCTAATCAATTTTTGCAACCTTCTGACAAGCAAAGTCAATGGGGGAAGCTGGATTCACTTAACAGCCACATGATTCACTTTACAAGGGCAGGGAGTCAACAAGAAAGGTCGTAAAACGGGGCAAAAAACTCAACAACTGTCTCACTGAGCAGTAGAAATTTTGGGCTCAATTGGCATTGTAAGGATTATCTGGGTTTACTCTAGCCCGAATCAGGGTGCTACCAGTTAGGTCAATAGATATATGAGTATCCCATATAAAAGCCAAGCTTGTTTCTGTTCATATTGCGAGATAGAATCTGTCTGACATGTGCTCTTAAAATGCCTGTTAATTGTGAATAGTTTTAATCAATGCTTTTTTTGTAAAAAAAAAAAAAAAAGAAAGAAAGAAAAGAAAAGATGCCGGAACTCACACATGTCATACAACCAGCCTTGCCTACCCTACAAGGTTCCATCCAAAAAAGGTGCCGGAACTCGGTTCTGGGCGTTCTGTGACAAAAAAAAAAAGGCCCTGGTTTTAATTGCTATTGTGACCAGGAGGCTGTTGATTTTTGCCTGGATGACCATTCCCCATAAATCTCTTAACAAAATTTTTATCAATAGCTATAGTTCAGCCAAGAAATTAAAAGACACTTGCTCCTGGGGAGGAAAGCTATGGCAAATCTAGAGAGCATACTAAAAAGCAGAGACATCACCCTGCCAACAAAGGTGCCTATAGTCAAGGCCATGGTTTTCCCAGTTGCAATGTATGGCTGTGAAAGTTGGACCATAAGAAAGGCTGAGCGCCAAAGAATGGAGGCCTTTGAACTCTGGTGCTGGAGAAGACTCCTGCGAGTCCCTTGGACTGCAAGGTGATCAAATTGGTCATTCCTAGAGGAGATCAACCCCAACTGCTCTTTAGAAGGTCAGATCCTGAAGTTGAAACTCAAGTACTTTGGCCACTTAATGAGAAGGAAGGACTCACTGGAAAAGAGCCTGTTGCTGGGAAAGATGGAGGGCAAGAGAAGAAGGGGACGACAGAGAATGAGATGGCTGGATGGAGTCACTGAAGCAATAGGCGTGAGCTTAAACGGACTCCAGAAGATGGTAGAGGACAGGAAGGCCTGGAGGAATGTTGTCCATGGGGTCGCGATGGTTCGGACATAACTTCGCAACTAACAACAACAACAACACAACAAAGTTCTTTGAAACCTTTTCCATCCTATTAACTGTTAACCCCAAACAGCAGGGGGGTCAAACTGCCGGCCTGCGGGCCAGACATGTCACAAGGAAACCGCGCCCACCCCATTGCCGGCAATGGGGAAAACATTCCGATACGTCGTGCAACAACACGTGACGTCACGAGTTTGACATGCCTGCCTATCAAGATATTCTTGCAATTTTTAAAATGTTCCTTTAGAATGTTTTTTTTTCTAAATTATTGTATTCTATGCTGATCTTTAATTGGGTTGGTCT